CAGACTCCTCTGAAAGAGCAGTGGCAAAGTCATCCTATCTGCAGGGTGCCAGGCTGGAGCATCCCAGGAACAATCAAATGAAACCAAACCAAACTCCTTTTCTTCAAGTGAATTCTGACACCTGGTGACCCTGTAAGACAGTGAAAGTGTTCCACAAGGTTCTGACGCTGTGATCTTAATGGACACAGACTACTGGGGGGTTCCAACTGTTGGATTTTTGGTTTGCATCTGAGTGCCCCCAGACCCCCCAGGACACACCACAGCTGGGGAAAGGGAGACCAGGCATATGATCCTGAGTCAGTCCTGGGACACTGCTGGAGGAGAAGGCCCATTGTGCCCAGTGCTTATAGGCTGAGGTCTGGGCCAGAGTCTGGGGGTGCTCACTATATTGCCCTGCTTCCCTGGAACAAAGGTATCCTGACTGTGTTTGTACTGAACCCTCACCATCTTGGACACAAGACGCTCAGGCATGTGGAGTGTTTGGCCTGGACCTATCCCCTCTTTTGACTCCCCTTTCTCTGGTGGTGATTCTCGGAGTCCTGGTCCTGACAGACGATTGCATCACACTAGCCTCCAACTAGAGCTGGAAAGAAGCCTGGATCTCCAGGTTGCCTGGACCACAACCCCTCTTTTGTGCCTCCTGCTGGACCTCTTCCTCAAGAGCTTCTTGTCAGTGGTGCAGCCTTCTGGGATGCTGTACCCTGTTGTTCACCTGCTCCTGTACCCAGTCCTGATGCTCACTAGAGGGCAGTGTGGTCTGTATGAGAGCTTATCCTCATAGCATGAGGTTGTGGAAGGCTGTGGTTGACAGATAGAGCCTTATTTCCATATGGGTGTCTCCACATATATTAAGCCTCCATGGAGTTCTTTCTGAACATTCTGAACATTCATGGGCAAAGTGAAAAACTTTGCCTTCAGGCAGAGTGTGTTTGAGGGTAAATAGTGAGCCCGGGGCAGGGCATCCTCAGCCTTCCTGACTTGCCTGGGCATGTCCCTGGAGGAAATGGAAGGCCTAGGTTTGCATGGTGACTGACTTGGTGGGAAGGCTAGGAACCAATCTTGGAAGCTCTTTTGTCTGGAATAATGTGCCTGTCTCAATCAGCGTTCCCTTCACACACCCATGACAGTTTCCTTGTACCCCATATCCTATTTAGGGGCCTGGTGTTTGTGAATCCATGATCTTTGGATACCATGTGGCCTGGGGCCATGGTCTCCCTCCATCCAATGATTTGTGTGTGATGAATTGACCTGCTTGGAGATCTACCACCTTGGAATCTTCATAGCACAGTTGTACCAGGTACACACGTGGAGTCAGAATTGACTTGATGGAAACTCACAACAAAAGAGCTTCACTGCGTCCCCCAGCAAAGGGACCGGGATGCATCTGACCTGGGTTAACCGATCGGTTTGGATCAGAGGGTGGTGATCATGTTCTATACTGAGTCAGACAGCTCTCGATCCTTCTTTCCAGGCTGCCCTCGTGTCAGAAAGGCAGCCCAAACTGTCTTGAGACTCAAGAATCAGCATGTAACTTGTTGACCCTGAAGTCTGAGTTTCTTATCCTTGTTCATCACCAAATGCTGTTATTCTCTGGGCTACTTCTCTCCTCCCCCACCAAGCATTGAAAAACATCAAGAGGATCTTTCCCCTTTCAAAACCGGTAGTGGATGACTTTTAAACAAAAACCAGAGGAACAAGGGCAAGGAAATCAGGAAAACAGGAAGGGAAAAAGCAGAGCGGAAATCATCA